GCACATTTCGAAGGTTCGAATCGCGGGACCAAACGCCCAGAACACATATTTAAATTCTCTGTCTGGAACGTGTCGGGCCGCATCACCACCCTGAAATTCCCAATCTACAGCTGTGTTGGGATTCGCTCTTTGAAGCGCGACAAAATATCTGTACAATACAAAACAATTTCATAAATAAATAAATATACTAACAGACAAAAAACACGTATATTTGTAATTAATTTTTGCTTACTGAGGGAGTTCTGCGAAGTTCGACTCCCAACTGCCGTACACACACTCGATTGCTTTTTTTCTGCCGTGCCATGCCTTCTTGTAACTGACGTCGACTTTCCAACACTGCTTCACATCAGCCTGGACCATGTTAACATTGTACTCCACTTTCTTCTGAATCTTATTCATTATTAGATTCACAATCATATGGGCAGTCACGTTTCTGTGGTCATTTCTGTCGACCTGTTGCATGCAAGTGTGTTGGTCAGTCCATTCAGTTACGACCCACAAATCATCATGCCGTCTGGACTTATTCACCCGAGCCATCCACAGACAAGGCACATCTGCATCTGCATTCGATTTGCAGACCAGTTTGAATGTCTTCTGATTTGAATCTTTTGACCGAACTTCCCGCAACCTATCGACGTTCCAACCAATTAGACCCGTTTGGGCTTCTCGCTTGCTCCGGAAAACTGTACCCAAACGTATGGTCTCAATGTCGCCATTCCACCGTGGAATAGCATACTCGTTCGCATCTATCCTGGACGGGTCCCATTCACCCATCTCGCGGTATATGTGCCGACCACCAATAGAAAATGAGTGTTTTTCTTCCATGAACTCGGCTTCACTCTCCTCATTAACCAATCAATCTGATTCGGTTTCTGAGGTCTCGTCTGTGAAGTCATCTTCACCGGGAATAAAATCTTCATCGTCCTCATCCGCCGCCCATTCTCTCGATGTCCCTTCTCCAAAATTAGGTACATGAGAAGTCGATGTACCCTCGACATCAAACACTCCCTCGTAACAAGGAGTAAAATCCTCAAACTGTGTAACGGGTGTATTTGCCTGCACCGATAAATGCAAATACACCATCGACATACTAGGAAAGTAATAAATCCATTCAAAACTATCGTTATTGAGTATTGCGGGACTCCACGAACCATCAGGTTGGCTAATCATCATAATAATCTCCTGAATTGTCCAACCTTCTTCAAACTGACATTTTTCATTAATCATCTGTACCAACTGTTCATATGATATCCTCCCCGGAATTATAAATGAACCACTCGGACGATCTTTAAATGAAACAAAATCGTTTAACATTTCCTTCCCAAAATGCCAGTACAAATTAACAAGATATGGACCGGGACCGGGATAGGCCATTTTATACCTGTTGCAAATAAACACTTTCAATTATTTTTCAAAAAAACTCAATTTTTACTCTCCAACAAAAAATAAAAAATAACAAAAAATAGCCTCAATCAAATAATCATCCAAAACTATTAAACTCATAATCCAACAATAACATAAATTCATCTATAATTCGGATAAATTTAAACCCCTAATTCTAACCCTAATTTCGGAAAACCCTAATCCCAACAACAACAAAACAATACACAATTGACAATTTACACACAAAATTTCAATCCTCAATTCAACATACCCACATAATCCATAATCAATTAACAATTTTCAATCTTCTAATACCACCACATTCAAACATATTATACCAATCCTCAATTTATAAACAACTTCAAATAATGTAAAAAGTAAAAATAAGACAATATACCTCGTGCGAATGAATTAACTGGAAATGAGACTCGTGCCGGTGTTGTCGGTTTATGCCGGGATGAAGATTGGATCGATTTTTTTTTTTCACGCTAAAAAATCGCTCTCCCCTCTTATTTCTTTATTTTTGTTCGCTGTCTGCTGCGTGAATGAAGGAGAGGAAGAGATTTTTTTTATATTAAACGTAAAAACCGTATTCTCAGAATACGTTTACTGACAATTTAATTGTAAAACGTATTCTGAGAATACGGTTTAATAAAAATAATATTTTTTTCAAAAAAAATTTTTTTCCTCTTGAAACGTATTTTCATAATACGTTTTGTTTCAAAACGTATTTTCACATTACGTTTTATAAAAATACATTTTCATTATTATTTATTTGCATATTTTTTTTTAAAACGTTTTTTTTTTAAATTAATTTTACTTTTTTTGTGAAACGTATTCTCAGAATACGTTTTCGTGATTAATTTTTTTTATAAGAAAACGTATTCTGAGAAT